AGAACAAAAAAAAAACAAAAATGAAAACAATTTTCTCTCTTTTTTGAACTAAATAAACGTGCAAACGAAATCAGCAGCTGGTTCTTATTTACCTAAATTTTGCTAGAATGCATGTGAAGTGCTGGTGGAACGTCTTCGTTTTTACATGGAAAAGGATCCGAACAATTGTTGGTCAAGTTGGGTTCAAGCTGCATATGAAGACCGCGTCAGTTTGTCAGCTAGCGGATTCTACAAGTAATTTAGATTTTACGGTAACTCGCTTCGTACGTCATAAGGTTTTTCGTCTAGGTACGATTTTGATGGATACGACTATGAAAAGCAGATCGGTAGCCCCTTTCACTATTATGTATATGGAGTAGCTTGTACGGAAGTTGAAATCGACTGCCTAACTGGCAGTCACGAAGTAGGACAGTTAGAGTTGCGTAACTGTGGTATACTTTGATATTAGGTTATCAGAACGGATATCGTCATGGATATCGGAAGAAGTCTGAATCCGGCTGTGGATATTGGTCAGATCGAAGGAGCGTTTATTCAGGTGACATTAATTATCAATGTTATTCGCTATTCTTCATTGTTTTGTGCAATTTACCTGATATTTTAGATCAGTATTCTTTCGTAAAAAATATTTTACAAATTGCTAATACGATGGTCTATTAATAATGATTTGGACAGACCTGTTGATGATGACTGATTAATATGGGTCTAATCTGACCTGAAGCGTTTGAAAAGTTGCATGTAATAAATCCATCAACTCGCACAAAGAGTATGATTTTTTTAAGTACTTGGACTGCTGAGTACTTAAGATGTTTTTGAACCTGTTATTGAAGTTGCATTTAAGGAATGATATACTTTATTCGACAGGCTCGCGTTTCTCCTTGTTTCCAAGAAATTTGGAATTTGGACATCATTTTCATTCACAGTAAAATACGTGCCATTTAGGGTTACGGCTTGTGTACAATGGAGGAAATTAAAGTTTCGCCCACAGGAGTCGTGTATACTCGAGGTCCTGGCACTTACAAAATACCATCTGCCGCAGACATTCCACAACAATTTAACGTTAAACTGTTGAAGAACTCGGACAACGACTTTGCGATTTATTCGTCCAAGGTACTCATTCAGTTAAATTCTGTTTATTCAAGTTCTTTCCTGAAGTAGATTACCATAAATTTCATCTAACGTTCACATTAAGGGATTCAAAGCACTCCTCCTGAATTTGAGTCAATAAATCATTTACATGGAAAGAGATAGCCTTTGAAAATTTGGGATTTTCGAGTAGAAATGCTAGAGAGATAAGACCTTGCCCTGTACGAAAACAGTATTCTTATATGACGAATTACTGAATGGGATTATGTGTGCTTGTGGAGTAATGGTGCTCATTTTGGAGGTAATTATTTCGATTGAGCGACTTGAGAGGGCAGTGGTGCAGCGGGTTAGCAATTTGCTTTGTACGTTAAAGATACAGCATTCAAAATTCCAGCGTACCATAAAGTTTTCTCTTATTATCTACTAATTCCTTGAACTGGGAATGCAGCTCACTGTGCTTCGGTGCAACCATCCGATAAATGGACGCCAAGAGGTTGGCTTGGGAATAATGAGGACAGCGTGATGTTCTGACGTAGTCATGCTAAAGCTTATAAAACGTACGGCCATGCTACTGATGCGAGCGATTTACGGCTTCAGTTCGCCTTGGATATCCTGAGAGTTGACTAAAATTTAGCACACAATATAAATGATATATAAAAAATATGACGATACTGTTTGAATGATAAAGTTTTTTAAGTATCCAAAGTAGTTTTAAACATAGTAGGTGTTCGTCAGAAGAGTTTTCAACGGGTCTTAGACGCTGGTTTTGAATTAAAGTTTACAAATATACCTTTATTTAAATGGGTTTGTTTTTCATTTAATTACATAGATGCGTTTTTTCAGATACAGGGAATACTCAGCTATTGTTAAGCGAGGATTAAGATGTCCAACAATTTTGCATCTCAAGGTGGCTAGTCACCCGTGGTTAGGGTCAAACGGTGTTCTCCCGTTTTTGGAATGACATTCTATGTTTTGGTTCCGGGGTCGTGGATTTCTTCATGTATTTTTTTTGTGTTTTGGTATTACAGCTTAAGTATGGTGATTAGTATAGTAACGAGAAATACAAGTTCAAATTCTATGCAGTTATTGAAAATTTGATCGTATAGCAGAGGAAGCTCTGCTCGTTCTTGTAAGCTTTTCCTGCCTTCTAATCATGTTTTTTGTCCGTTCTGCCGTGACTGCTTCCATGTTCTTTCTTTTTCGACAGTAGGCTTTCTTGCGAAGGCTTGTATTCTACTGTTTGCCGGTGAATTTTTAGTAAGCTGTACGCCACAATAACAGGGCACATCTCATTTGCTCTGCTAAGATAAGCCATGTTCACTGATCCGGTTCTTAGCTTTCTACCAGTTTCTTCAACGCAGTTCTCTCTGCACTAGCCGTTTATCCGATATGCTTCGTGGCATACTGTTGTTTCGACATGATGCCTTTGTTGTATTTGAGGCTGCCGAGCCTGTTTGTGCATCTGCAGTCCGTGGTTGCCTCTACTTAGTCATGAAGCTTTTGATTCTTTCATTTAATTTCTTCTAGTACAGAATGACTAGAAGACGGCGGTTTTGGGAGTCTTCTCTAGTGGTTGTCGTACCTTCTTTGTTGCAGATCCTGTTTAAGTTGTAGTTGAGTTTGTTGAATTACTCATGGATGAAGCTTTTGTGCCGATTTTATCCCTGGTCTGGGCAAGGCTGATGTTCTCCTAATGAAGAGGTTATGAGTAAGTGCACAGTCTTGCTTGACAGAGATAAAGTGTTTGATCCAGTCTTGTTTTTTATGAATATCGCGCTGTGGGAATGGAAGTTGATGTAGCTTCTTGTGTAGAAGGGTTTCTTGTATGCACTGGTGGTTAAAGTTTTGTTCTTCTTGCCTATCTGCGTACTGTTTCACTTTCAGGCCGTTGGAGAACCGCCGCTTTTCTTGGGTCTTTCCGTGTATTTTGCTATCAAGGACGCAATCAGGTGCGCACGTGAGCAAGAAGGCTTAACAGGGCCATTTCGATTGGACAGTCCTGCCTCGTGTGAGCGCATTAGACTGGCCTGCACCGACAAGCTTCTCGAAATGGTATTGTTGTTTGCTGTGTGTCTTCAAGTTGATCAATGATGTTTAAGGTATCCGAGACGGATTATAGCCAAATAATGCCTTGGAATGTATCGCTGTGATTCATGCCTGGCTGAACCAAAATTTTTTTTCAGTCATTTCAAGATCTGGCGTTCAATGCAAACTTATTTTTTTCTGGTGAAATTATGCGTTATTATTTTGATCCTTTTAAAAATATCGCTTTAGCTTAAGTGCAGAATGCGCTAAAATTTTCCCCAAACTTTCTTAGGGCTAAGTAATGACGAAATATTCATGAGCCGTTTAGCATCAGGTGTTTTTAGAGGTCAACTTTCTGTCATAACTGGGATAGAAAATTCCGTGC